GCTAGCAAACGCCCTAAATCATCCTTGTCAATTTTATTACAAGCCACAAGAGATTTACCTTGAAAGAGGTAGATGGTGCGTCATGTAGATGCTAAACAAATTTTCTGCAGGACCATACCTTTCTTGCAATATGGCAGTCAAAGAGTACGTGGTTAGCATACTCAACCTCTACCCCACAGCCACCACACACATCATCAAGAGCAACATATGGCGATAAAACAGTAGCTCTTTCACGGCAAGGCTACCTCTACAGGCTTTCCACACAAAATGATTTTGTTTCGGTCGTCTATTCTTGCACCAAATAGTTGCCTATAGATCCCTATCATCTTCTTGCACCCTATTCTCTGCAGCATTAAGGACACCAAGTCTCCCCAGCCAAATAATTATATATATATATATATATATATATATATATATATATATATATATATATATATATATATATATATATATATATATATATATATATATATATATATATATATATATATATATGATGAAACGGGGCTTTCAAAGCCAAATAATGGTTTATATACAATACAGCTTATTTGATTTACTTTTTAGCCATTTTGATTTACTTTTTCGAGACTTTTGGATGACCCACGGGTGCAAAGAGCTTTTGATGAAGTGGTTAGGTTGTATGATGATTTGAAGGATGTTACAAATGTTTTCTACGATACTTATCAGGAGCAGGCAGCAAACACAAAGAAGATTTGAATAAACATCAAATGAATGTTGAGAATATTGATCCAGATACTAAAGTCAATATAGCTGATGATGGTGATGATTTTCATGAAGAACCAAATGAAGACCTTAATAATGAAATAAGCTCGGTCACTAAGAGTATCCTAAAGGATACTGTTGTTCAAGAGGATTCTACAAAAGATGATGGTGATAATGCTGAGGAAGATGGTGAAAAACCAAGGAAAAAAGCAAGCAAAGATAAGCCACCTGTCACAAAAAAAAAAAAAAAAAAAAAAAAAAAGTAAAAAGGCACTCAAAGATGCTGAAGTGACTTTGGGTAGTTTTCTTTGAATTAACTTTGGGTAGTTTTCTTTGAAATTTAATAGTTGTAGATAAAAGTAAATATAAATTATATAGAAGTAGATAAAAATTGGTTAAAAGTTAATAAATAACTGTTTGATCTGTTTTATTTAACTTTTCAATTGTTATCTTTGATTTTGAACAGTTGTTAACAAAAGAAAGTAAATATTGTATAAAAGTAAATACAAATCAATTAAAAGTAGATAGTGTATGATTTCTTTGAAACTACATCTGCTGTTTTATTTCAGGTGATGGTGATAAACAACCTGTTGCAGAAGAAACCATTGTGCTTAAGAACATTCACCAAGAAATAGCTTCAAAGATAAACATCAATGTAGATTGTGGAGAAAAAGATGTTGAAGTTAATTTTGTTTCAAAGTCAATGAGAAGCAACAAATCAAGAATGAATGAAATGCCAGAGTTGTATCAAGTAGTGGCTGATTACTGTTTTGTGAAGTGCTTTCAAACAGTAAGTTATGAAATTTTTTAATTTTAAAAATATTCTATCTACTTCAGTTAATATTTAATTTACTTTAAATAATATTTTTTTTTACTTTATAAACACTTATATGTGCACAGTGAAGAGCTTGTGAAATATGAAACTCTTCTCATGATAACAAGGGATGACACAGTATCCCTAGCTCCAATTGCCCCCCCTCAAATGATAAAATCCAATATAGTTCAATGTTGGTCATTTCTTATGAATGATTCACGATTGAAAGAAGATCCATCATGCTTTTTCTTTGGCATTGATCACAATGTAAGCGTTAAATTAAATAATTAGCTAAATACATAATTAAATGTATATGATCTAATTAAGTAACATGTTTTATGTCCTCATTAATACACAAAGACCTCTAGAGCTTTCTCTCATGTCACAAGATCCTTCCCAGCCAACTCCAAAAACAGATGAAAAAGAAATACCATCTCCTTCAACACACGCGGCAGAATTGATTTAGGCATGGTATGATTGGATGTGCCTCTGTGATGCAAAGGAGAAAATTATGACAGCTCAGTTGGTATGTTTTATTATTCATGTCAATTAAACTACATTGTAGGGCATTATGATTTTGAACTTGTAGACTAATAAGTGTAATTTTAATGACAAATCTTTGTTCCAATCTGTCTAAGTAACCACTATAGTTTGGTAGTAGTTAACTTGTTGAAAGAGACCATTCAATACTTGGATAATAGGGAGTATGATGACAGGCATAGGTCTTTCTACAAATTTCTTGCATCTCCTGTAGTAAGGTTTTTTAATTTCTCAAAAGTAAATTATTATTAATATAAAGTAAATGACATTACTATTAAAGTAAATAAGTTTGTATTAAAAGTATACATTATTATGCTTGTAAAAAGAATAAAGATAAAATATAAAGTAAATGATGTTCTCATTAAAGTAATACATATGTTATTTAAAGTAAATTGTACTGTAAATTTGTTTTACTTATATATTGCTTTACAAATGTTATAGGTGGAGGAAATTCAAACTTCCTGAAGAGAATTAATCATGAAAAAGCTGATGAAATACTAGTTTATGAGTTTGATGAAGTTAAGTTCAAGTGGAAAACACCAAAATATACTCTTGATTGTGGTGTTTTTACAATGATGCATATGTTGTGTTTTACTGGAGACCCTTTTGATTCTGACCTTGATTTAGCAAATAGGAGAAAGGTGTATCATGCAGAAATCTGTGCTGATCTTGCTTTGGCAAAACACTAAAAGAAAAAGTCTTGTGGAAAAAGTTTCAAGGTTCAGAGTAGTTAGAAAACTTGAGCAGGAGAAAAAGGTGAAAGATATAATATATGTTTCTGATTTCTTGAAAACACACAAGGAAGTAATGGAAAACATGAGCTTGAAATGTAAGCAAGTGATTGACTACTTAGCAATCAATGATGATGAAAACTTTCCAAACAAGAGGTATGTGTTATACTTGCAAATAAACTAATACTCCTGTTGCATTATATATTAAATTGTTTGGCATAAATATAATTTAAAATTTAATTTAACATTACAGCGAAGTAGTAGGTTAGTTTGGAGAATCAAAATAATAAGGGAAGATTGTAACACTTTTTTCAATGAATGGAAAGCTTTAACTAATCTGATCACTGCTTGGTCAAACCACCTCAATAACAATGAAAGGCAAAAAGAGAGGTCTAAAAATGACATGGTTAGATTCTTCTTTGGACTTGACTTCATGCATGGTAACTTTTTTACGTTTACTTATATAATATAATACTATGCATTGTATAAATATGTGAAATAAACTTGGAATTTTTTTTGCGGGATGCTTTAACTATGTGTTTGAATGCACATGGGAAAAAGGGAGTAACAAGTCTGCAAAAACTATGGATTGATTGGACAAAATCACAATCATTGGACTTGGATGCAGCTGAATGTGTAAGATATAGAATAAATATTTAAAGAAGAAAGATATATGTTTAAAGTAATAAAAAAACAGCTTTAAAGTAAATATGTGTAAATATTTTTTATGTGCAAGTATTTATACCTTTGAAGCAGGAAGATCATTATTTTCTTGATGCCATAAACTTCAGAAATGAAACAATTGATCATTTGGACAACACTGAATACGAGAACACTGATGAATGGGTGCCTGTAAAGAGTTTTATCTCAGAAACGGTAAAGCATAAATAGATTAACAAAATGTCATTAAATTCATTTTTCAATGTATCATATTACATTAATATTCATTCCATTGCAGATCATACAAATGCAGAAGTTGTTTAATAAAAGAAAGCATCTAAAGGCAGATGATATTTTGTCCTACACCCTAAGAATAATTGAACTTCCATTCCAAAAAAAAAAGACAAGAAAATTACTCAGGAAGCTATCTAATGCTGCACATGAAGGTGTATGATGGTGTTAATGAGATAGGATTGGGAACCATAAAAGAGGTAAGTTACCATATTTATTTCTAAAGTTATTAAATTCTTTAAGTTATATGAATTACTTAGAGCATAATTTATTAAAACTAAGGTTAATCTTTTATTTTTTACAGGGATTTCAAAGATTGACACACCATCATAAAAAAACAGTACTTGACCTACTTTTCAATGATAACAATCAAATGCAAGAGAAATTGCTGACAAATGTTGAGGATTGGGAAGAGAAGAAAGCAAAAAGCATTTGAAGAATTGTAAATGTTTTTAATAGATTTGAATATATCATAGGCATTAGAGTACTTTAAGTTGTATAGTATTAATCCAAAACATTAGTTTGAAGGTTTAAGTAGTATGTTTGTATGAAGAATACATATTATATCTTTGAGTTGAAGTAGTAGATTTATTCCGTGTGAAAAATGGTGCTAGATATAAAAGTAGAAGAAATCAATTAAAAAGTAATGTTAAAGTAAAAGAAATTAATCCAAAAGTATGAAATTATCATTAAAGTAAATGGAACAAATTTAAGCGATAAATAATGTTCAAAAAATAATCAGAAATATGTTGTTCGATTTGGGAATTAGTGTTAAAGTAAAAGACATGAAGTTAAAAGTAAAAGAAAAAAGTTCAAAAAATAAAGTCTTTGTGAGGTGGTTGTGGAGGTGGAGGTGGTTGTGGAGGTGGAGGTGGTTGTGGAGGGGTTGTGAGGTTGTAGTTCAATGCTTGTTCACACTATAAAAAAGTACAAATTTTTTGAAAGATTGTTAGTTGGAAGGTCGTGACCATATTATTTCCACTATTGGCCATGTGATAGTGTTAGTGGCCATACGATGGTTGTGCGGTGGTAGAAGATGAAATATTACTTGATAATACAATTCATATGATATATTATTCATTGTGAAAGGCACGAAAAAATAATATCATAAAGTAAATGAAATATTTCATAAAATTAAAGTATTATAGGTAAAAGTAAAAAAACTGAACTTTATTTCTACAATACAATTACTTAGAGTAAATGTAAAAATATTACATAAAAAAATAATAATAATAAAAACATTAATATTTCTTCAATATATCTTTATCTTCCAAAACATCTTTAAATTTCCAAGTATTATAATAACTGTACAGAAATAAACATCAGAAAATCAATGACAGATTAAAGTAAATAAATTACAATGTAAAGTAAATTAATTTCAACTTAAAGTAAATGAGAAAAGTACAAAGGTAAAATACCTAAAACAAAAGTACAAGTATAATAACACTTGCACAAAAATAAAATGTAAATCGAGTTAAATGTTAAAGTAAATAAATAACAGATCAAAGTAAATTAAACACATGTAAAAGTAAAATACCCGAAGAACTACTTGTTTGGACAGTTTCTACTGTCATGTGAAACACCAGATTGCCCACATCTACTTCATTTGACCCAACCAAAACCTGAGTATCAGCATATTTCACCTCTTTTGAACTAGTTGCATTTTTAAGATTATTCTTTGTCAGCATCTGCTCCTCAGATGAAGATAATGTCCTAATAAGCTCAGATAAATCATCCTCAGATTGCTCAGATAAACTCACACAACTGAAAATCTTAGACCACACATCACTCACCAATTGCTTCTTCTTATCATACTTAGAAGCATCATCCAGAACAACATTATTTATGCCTAAAGCTTTCTTCAGAATGTCTTTTCTCCAACGATTCATGATATAAAGACCAAGAATTTCACGTATAGACATGCCTTTCATAATAAACAGAATGTGTCTACATAAGATGCCTTGACTCTCAAACATTTTACAAGTACATTTGCATTCATATGTGGCCAAGTCAAAATTTACATAAAAGTTTTTCCTTTTCTCATGATCAACAATTACAGAAAACTCCACACCATCTACATATAGAGAACTACAACTTTCAACACCACATGAGAAACAGGATGCCTGACATTCTTCTTGAAAATCATAAAAGATGGCACGACTGTAAACAACATCAGCGTGCTTTTCCAAGTGTAAATGAGTAACCAATAGAGGCTCATATTTATTAAGCCTGTTCAACTCGTCCTGTTCATGCCTTTGAGCATCAAGAGCAGTTTCATAACGGACAAAGAATTCAACACAAGTCACATGAGGGTTTATAAAATTACAAAAGAAACTATTTTCACCTTCAGACCTAGAAGTAGAACTCAGTAACCCACCCATAAACAAGTCCCTGAAATATGCAGGGATCCAAAGATGCCTAATCTTGAACATGTATGTAAACCACTCATGATCTACAAGGTCAAATTCCTCCATAACATTGTTCCAGCCATCAACAAATACATGGGGATCAATTTCTCTATCCCAAACTACTGCACTTAGCTTTTTCAAGAACTCAGTTTCATAACAAAACTGAGTTCCAACCTTTACAGGTACCTTCCTCATTATGTGCCACACACATAACCTGTGTTTAGTCTTGGTAAAAACCTTTTGTATGGCAATACCCATTGCAGGGTCTTGATAAGTGATTATGTAAGAGGGTTCTCTTCCCATACACTTCAAATAAGTTTGAAATAGCCACACAAAATATTCTACATCTTCTTTAGATAATAAAGTAGCACAAAATATAACACATCTCTTATGATTATCAACTCCAGTAAAGGGCAGAAAACCAATGAGTATTTATTTGTATCATAGGTAGAATCAAAAGATAAAGAGTCCCCAAACAATTGATAATCAACGCAGTAATCAAAATAATAACCCCCTTTACTGCTTTTCACTTTTTGTTCAAGGTTTTGAACAAACATTGCACCATCAGCATTAGAGATATAAACTTTCAAGTCCCTAGAAAAATATTTGAAGTCATTTTTATTGCCCATGACATTTTTAAACCCACCACAAAGTTCTTTCATGATCCTATAAGACATAACAACCCCTATATTTAACTTTGAGTTGTCAAAAATAAACTTCTTATGAGCAAAATTTAAACTAACTTCATATTTAGTAATTTGCCTAGTAATAGGTGTAGAAAAAGGGTAAGAATGAGACTCATAAAAAGAGTAAACCATATACTGCCCACCATTACAAAACCTAAATTTAATATTAGCAGGACATCCAACTCTCTTCACAGTCTTTTTCCTTAAACATGCACCTTCAACTTGTTTACCAGCTTTCTTGTTATTTGTCACATACCCTTCTTTTCTACATAATAAATATTTAATTACAGTAACTCCTTTACCATTACTAGAACCAACCTTATTCTTATCTACTTTAGTACTACTAGAACGGACTTTAAATCCACAGTCATTAGCATATTTGTAATAAAAGGCAATACTATCTCCAAGACTATCAAATTTCATTCCAAGAATAGGTTTGTTTTCTAAAGAACAACTTGGGATATACTCTTTATCACCACTAGAATTACAATATATCTTAGGAAGCACAAGCTGAGTGGGTGATTTGAAAATTCTTACATTCATATCTTCATCAGTGACAACAGCAGAACAATGCTCTACACTTTCAGTCATCTCTCTGAAAAGCAAATGAACCAAAAAAAAAAAAGTAATAAACAATAACAAAAAGTAAACCATTTAAAAAAGTATACTAATAAAAACTATTAGACGTATACTAAAAAGTAAATGACTCAAAGCAAAAAGTAAATAAAAAAGCTCAAAAAGTTAAACAAACTAAAAAAATGAAGTTATAAGAATTAAGAAAAATTAATAATGAAAAGTAAATGACTCAATGCAAAAAGTAAATCTAAAACCACAAAAAGTTCTACTACTTTATTAAGACTAGCCAGCCATATAGCAACTTTATACATAACCACTACCATGAATTGGGTAAGTAAGTGTAAAAGCCCTAAATCGAAAAAAAAAACCCTACATCGTAAAAATAAAGCCCTAAATCAAACACTAAATCGTAGAAAATAAATTAGAGAACAATTAATAAGTAAAAATAAATTAATTGATAAAAATTACAATAGAAAACCCTAAATCGCGAAAATTGTAATGAAATAAACATTAAAATCAAAATAAACAACGAAAATTAAAATAAAATCAGAAACACAAGAAAATTACCTCAATGAATGACAAAAATCAAAGAATATGAAGTAATTGAAGATCGAAATCGAAGAATTTGACAATTTAATGAGCGCAAGCGAAGAGTGCAGATCGCGAAAAATCGCCTTTGAGAGAATTCCAAGGTAGAAAGAAAAAATGTGGAAGAAGAGAGAGAGAAAATGAAGCGGCGCCTGGAAAAACAAGGGAGGTCATTTAACTGTCGAAATTACGAAAATACCCTTAATGAAATTGAAAAAGGCGGGTGAAGCATGAGCTGTTGGATTGAGAGCGATCAACGATCGCGATGAGTTCCTAGTTCCTATTATAGGACTTGGTTCTCACATGATATATATATATATATATATATATATATATATATATATATATATATATATATATATATATTACTTAATATTTTTTAAAATTAATATAATTGTATACTTTATTTTTAAAAATATATGAATGCGGGTATAGGGTCGTACGAAGTGGGGTGGGTGGGGCATGTGTCGTAATATAACGGTGTCTAAAAAATTGGCAACGGAAAAATGAACAAGGGAAGAGAAATAAACTCAAACATTTTCGGTGTGGCATGATAATGTAAGCACCTAAAAATGTCTCCTCGACCAAAGCCTGATGACGAAACAACCTTCATTGCCTTATTTGGTCCGATTCGCGTGATGGATCTTAAAATTACTTGTATAGACCTTTTGTTCTAGCCCATTATTATTTTCTTAGTCATTTTAATCATTTCAATAAACCAAACCCTTTTTTGTAACCCAAAATCCATAAACTTTAGCCCAATTTCCTCTTTTCATAATTGCAATCCAAAACCAAGCAAATCTGATTTTTGTGCCTCATAATTTTTATCCAAATATAGAATGGCTGGATAGCCCTTTAAATAAGCTTTCCAATGATATATCATAAGCTTACTTTCGAGCTATAACGAAAAAGATATGAACGAAATATTAAACTGTATCCACAACTAACACCGTCCCACTATTTCACCCATATTTTTTATTCTACAAACGATATCAATATGATTTCAATTGGATTGGAAAGTAGACTTCTAAATCTTTTCAACGATAAATTTTTTTATCTTATTCCGATTTCTGGATAAAAAGTTATAATAAAAACAAAAACCGTAAATTGCTAACCCGCGCTACGCGTTTTCTAAAATCTATTTTCTTTTGAAATTCTATCTTCACTTGATTTTAAGCCTATAAATTCCTCCCTTATTTCTGATTTTTGGGGAGGTGATTTTGATATCCCGACAAATATATTTCATCCCACGTTTTCCAAAAGGCTTAGATGTAAACCTTCAACGAATAATTACTATTGTTCTTAGCTTTATTTCTAATCCTATTCAAGTAATTCAAAGTCCTAATAAAGATCCGAAGGTTCTACCTTTTTGACTAAGGCGTGAAAGTATAATCCCGAGGGTGAAATCAATTTTTCTAACTTTTTAATTTAATTTTTTTGAATTTATATTTTTATTGAAGTTACTAACAATTTATTCATGATGTAGCAAATCCATGGAGCGCGCGTAATGTGAGTGATTAATTAATTTAATTACTTATTTTGTTTATATTGCTAGTATGATGATTAGGTTTATTATTATATTTTTGATGATTTGACTAATGATATTATGGTTAAATTGGTTCCGATGTTATTGCTTATTTTTTTTTATATATATTGCTATCACCATATTGCATGTAAAGGGAATATGTAGTTGAAAATCACGACTAATAAGATAATTTGGACAACCGGTTTAGGTTCCTTTTAATCTTGTTATTTAATCAAGTGGTCACTAATATTTAGAATTATGTGTTGCATTAATATTCAACCAATTTAGCCTAATATAGTTTGATGGAAATTGAATCTTTGTTTGTACGCCTTTGAGATCACAGGAAATACTTTTCACTATAAGAATCGAGTAGAGGCCAATACGGGCGAATGTGACTCCATGACTCACTTCGACCATCATTTCTGATCCTCCTTTCGTGGTTTTAAACCATATGGAGTTAGTAATCTCATGGATTAAGAATTGGGTGTAACCTTTACAGGTCAATCGTTGTGGCCTTTCGTTGTCCCTATAGTTGCCTTTTAATGATCCGTGAACGGTTTACAAGTTCCTTAAAAACTTTTTGGCGGCTCCCTACTTTCCTTGTTCCTATCTGTATAATGTCAATTCACACTTCCTATGATTGCCAAGCATATTCACAACATGCTTAAGTAGACGCGCTTGGAATGACGCCTACACTTTGGCGACTCCACTGGGGAGGATTCTTGGTTTTTTATCAATTTGAGTGATCGGTATTTAATTGAGATGAGTGGATGAGACTTGAAAGATTCTTTAATTGTACTCCTGCAATTTAATTGGCATTGTCATATATGCATATGCATTTTATCTTACCTTTTTTGCCACAATAATACGTGTTCTACGTATGTGGCTAGCTCGGGGGATTTAAGCTCTACCAACCCAATAAACGCTCATGGAAATAAGGGTTCATCTGAGTCTTTAAATCCACCCAAACCATGGAGTCAAGTTCGATTTCATCACAAACTCGCGGAGCCGCCCGTAAGCATACACCCTCAAAGGAGACAACCTTGCTAACGTGTCCAAACTCTTAACCAAGGTACCCTTTTGACACCCAAATAGCTTGAGGGTGTATGCTAACGGGCGGCTCTTTTTTGTTAGAGTCGAGTCATAGCTTTTTTTATTTTTTTTTTTCAGTTAACCTGGATTTTTTTTCTCGTATACTGTAGAAAGATTTACGTGTCGTGCCACCTTTGGATCTGTAGCCCCGGATTTTATCTTTCATTTGATGTTAGTTTCGTCCCAACCGGAGTCACAGATCAAAATTTATAACCGAAATACTACAACCTTTCCAGTTTGGGAGTTCGTTTTAGCGTCCAATTCAATCTTTTTTCTTAATACTTTTTTTTATCTTTTCTTGTCAAGCTAGTCTTATCCAATCTTCTACTTCTCTTAGTCCTCTAATCCATGTCAACTTGTATAACATAGGATTTAGATTTTTATTTTTGTTTTTCCCCATGAGTCCTAACTCCTGTAGAATTCTACTCCTTCTTCCTAGTTTTTTGTGATTATTATGCTAACCTTAACATGTGTTCTTTGTACGTGGTTGTAGTTGATTATATTTTTGTATGACTAACTCTTGCCAATGGACCGTTTCACCTAGTAAATAGCACAAACATTGAAATTGGACGAAATTAATCAAGTTAGTTTGTCTTTTAGTCTTCCGTGCTATTTAGTCCTTGCGTCCTTCGTTTTTTCATACCGTCTTCATGTCTAGCTATACGATCACATCACGAGTCTTAATAAACTCACCTAATCACACACTTTTTGGGTCGTTGCACCCACTT